AGCAATGGCCCTGCTTCGGAATGCGGCGAGGATCGCGCGCGCTGGGCTGCCGCTGGTACCCGAGACTCCCGAAAACTGGGTCGATGCGAACGGGCTCGATGGCTGACTCTTTCCTCGACGTTCCAGGATCGAGAGTCTTTGAAAGTCGGCCACGCGCAGAGGGGGGTAGGGGGGAGGGTGGAAGGCCTGTTGGAAGCACCCCTGCCTCTAAGAAGCCTTCCCCCCTGCCCGTACCCCCCTGTGCGCGCCGCCAAGAAAGGCTTGGGCCCTCCTCTGGACTTCCAGAGGCCTCCAGGCCTCCCGAGGCATCCCGGGCATCCAGCCGCCCACTGTCCAGCATCGCTCGGGTGTCGCGCAAGGGGGGGGGGGGGCGGCAAAGGGAGGGGCAGCGAGGGCTGCAGACAAGGAGCGCCATAGGGGCCCCTGAAGGGGCCCTTTCGGGCCCCGGAGGAGGCCTTTGGGGCCCGAGAAGCGAAAAGTGTAACCTTTCTTCCCCCCACTTATCGCCCCCCCCAATGAAGCCGTGCCCATGTGTCCGCAGGAGGCGCCTCCGTGCACCACCACCAGGCCTGGCCAGGGCCATCTTAGACCCCGTGGATTCTGGGAGCACGCAGTGACAGAAACATCAGCTTTTGGACGTCCACGCAAATTTCTTGGATCGGCGCTGGGGCCCACCCCGACGGCGCCTCCGGCGCCGCCCCTGGCGGGCTCCGCGCGCCAGGGAGGGGGGTCCATCGCCGATCCACGCAATCCGCGCGGCCCTCCGAAAGCTGAAGGTTCTGTCGTTACTCGTTCCTCGAATCCTGGGCCCCATGGATGGTGTGCACGACCCTCCTGACATCGTGCGCGTAAAGTCAGGAACGTTGGCTCAGCGTGTCGCTCCGCCAGTTCTGGCCTACCACGCCTCGGCGCGACACGCTATCCACCGCACGGTCCCCAAGCGTCAACGTCCCGAGCTTTTCCCAGCCTCCCGCCCCGCGGAGCGGAGCGACACCCCGTCCGCGTGCAAGGCATGGCGTGTCGCCTGGGCCGCCGCCGCGACACGCCGAGCAAACGTTCCCGACCATCTGTACCGTGCCTGGGCCCAGGATGGCAGTGGCGCGGGCACGGTGGTGGTGCACGGGTGCCGCTGTCAGGCAGGCATCGAAGCGAGATGCATCGGTGCAGAGCGTTCCAGAACGCTTTCGGAGCGTCCCGGAACGCTCTTTGAAAAAGCGGCCGCGGCGCCCGATACGCCCTCCAAGCCCGCCGAGTCTCCGCGACTTCGCGCTACATCGGTCCGATGTTGTCTCGGTTCTGCCTTCGTCCTGCGCTGGTGGCGTGCCCGTCTCTTCTGGGCGATGCGCAGGTACGCGGCGCGCCGACCACCTCCCCGATCGGCTCCGTGCGTTGCTTCATGGCGCCGTCCGCCCCGCGCCTGGGGCACAACCTGGAGGACCACTACGACATGGCGGAGTTCATGTGCAAGATGCACAGCCCGCTCGGAGATCCGAGGAGGAACATCGAACAGGAAAGAACGCCAGAAGCATGACCCTTTGGCGCTCCCGCTCCGCGCGGATTTCTTGCATCCGCGCTGGGGCCCTTCCCGACGTCGCCTCCGGCGCCGCCCCTGGCGCGCTCCGCGCGCCAGGGAGGGGGGTCCAGCGCAGATCCAAGAAATCCGCGCGTAGCGCCAAAAGTGTATGTTTAAGTATGGCGTTTTTTCTTCTTCTGGATGCCGATTCCCTGCCACCTTCCGCGGAATCGGACGGTCGTTTTCTTCCGCGGCGTGGTGGCGCCCCTGGCCCACGAAGGTCAACGTTCGCGTCGAAACCGACGACCTGAGTTTTTCTATGCAGACCACGCAGGCCGCGCTGCGCGCGTCGCCGAACATCGACATTGGGGGGGCGAGGAGGGTTGGAAATAGTTAACCTGCGCTTGACCTCCAGGAGGGTTGTCGGTCGCCCGTGGGGGCGAGAAGACTATCGCGCTTCGCGCTTCACGGTCTGAAGCCAGAGCGGCTGCCCATCTCCAAAGGGGTCGGCCCGCGGGTCTGCGATGGCGCGGCGATGAGACTGCGCAGAGCGCATCGAGGGGCGCCGCCTCGACGTCGCTGCCAGAACTCGCCCGAGCAGGGGTATTGTTTTTGTTGCCGCTTGTCGTATCGTTGTGTGCTTGTTGTAGGTTTTCGTGGTTGTTTTTGTTCCTCTTTCGTGTCGTGAGATTTCCCCCAGGAGAGTACCTCGTCTGGGCGCTGATGTTCAGCACCTTCGGCGTCACCTTCGTGCCGATGCTCCACTCGAACTACTACTTCACGGGCCGCTTCCTGCCCAAGGACCAGGGCAACACCCAGCTGTGCGACGACAGCTGGTAGGACCCGTGCAGCGGCCGAAGGACTGAGGGCACCGCGGGCACGCGCAACAGCTTGGTGGACGCGAGCTGTCCGCACGCACCCGTCCTGGCCACGCCGATGCCCGGCCAGGGATCCGTGGACGGCAGGTCCGTGTCGTGTCGATGCGGCGGCGGCTCTGCCGCGGGCGTTCTAGGTTCCTGGAGGTCCGACGGCGCGAAAGAGTTGAAGCATCGTAAGACATCACGACCGGGGCCCTAGACCCCATCATCCTGCGCCACTTTTCCAGCCAGATCGATCTGTGAGGGTCCTGGGGCCCGAAACTGCGCGCGAACTCGCCCGGCTCGAGAAAAACTTGCAGCGCCAGGATCTCAGGGTGGAGCGCCACCAGGGGCCCAGAAGTTCGGCCGAGATGGGCCTCCTAGATCGGGTCCGAGCAGATGGGGTCGGAGGATCACGCCGCATCGCCGATGCATGGGCGATGGGGCTCGATGTGGGGCCCGGCTTTCTCCACGCCGATGGCGCCGATGCATCGCCGACGCCGCCAGCGCATCGCCGATGCACCGATGCAGCGGCGATGCGGCGAGACGCTCCGATCCCATCCACTCGGACCCCTCTTAGGAGGCCTCTAAGAACTCCGCGCGGACTTCCGAAAGCTGATGTTTCTGCAGTTGTCCTGCCTCTGGCTTGTGGGCGTTGTGGTTATTGCTGGGCCTCCCTGTCGCCACGCGCGGGCTCCGCTCGAAAAGATCAGGTCCAAACGTTCCCCTTATGACGGATCCAGACCGAAGCGCTGAGACGCATGAGTCGCAGTCTTCGGTCAGATGTGCAAAGGGCGGTCGAGGTCGGCGCGCCTCAATTTGACAGTTTGGGCTTCGCCCCCGCTGCGTGAAGTGAGACCCTCGCTGGCGGAAGCACGCCCAAAGACGTCCCTGATAAGGCCTTGAGGTGGGACAGCCGGACACTCTCCCCCAGAGGTGCTATGACCCAGGAGGTACGAGGATGAGGAGGAACAGGAAGAGGATGCAAAGGAGGCGGAGGAGGAGGAGGAGCAGGAGCAGGAGGAGGAGGCGGAGGAGGAGGAGGAGGAGGAGATGTTGCGGTGGGGGAGGCGAGACGTCGTCTTTTCATTCGATGCCCGTCAAATTATCTGGTCATTTGCCTCATCGGTAGCTCCGCTGGCTCAAATCTGTGGAAAGGGACTCCTCCGCTTCGCCGGCCTCAGTCGACCGCTGCGCAGCAATGGCCCTGCTTCGGAATGCGGCGAGGATCGCGCGCGCTGGGCTGCCGCTGGCACCCGAGACTCCCGAAAACTATACTCCTTCCTCGACGTTCCAGGGTTTTGGCAGTCGGCCACGCGCAGACGGGGGTAAGAGGGAGGGTGGAAGGCGTCCCACTCACGGTGAGCCCTGCCCGTCCCGTGACAGACGCCCAGCGCCACGGCGGCAGCCGCTGTCGATCTGCGACCGGCGCCCGCTGTCCAGCATCGCTTGGGCGTCGTGCAATGGGGGGGCGGCAGCGAAGGCTGCAGAGAAGGAGTGCCTTGGGGCCCCTAAAGGGGCCCTTTCGGGTCCCGGAGGGGGCTTTCAGGGCCCGAGAAGCGAAAAGTGCACTTTTCTCCCCCCCGATTTATCGCCCCCCCCATGGAGCAACGCCCACATCGTGCCCATGTGTCCGCAGGAGGCGCCTCCGTGCACCACCACCAGGCCTGGCCAGGGCCATCTTAGACCCCGTGGATTCTGGGAGCACGCAGTGACAGAAACATCAGCTTTTGGACGTCCACGCAAATTTCTTGGATCGGCGCTGGGGCCCACCCCGACGGCGCCTCCGGCGCCGCCCCTGGCGGGCTCCGCGCGCCAGGGAGGGGGGTCATCGCCGATCCACGCAATCCGCGCGGCCCTCCGAAAGCTGAAGGTTCTGTCGTTACTCGTTCCTCGAATCCTGGGCCCCATGGATGGTGTGCACGACCCTCCTGACATCGTGCGCGTAAAGTCAGGAACGTTGGCTCAGCGTGTCGCTCCGCCAGTTCTGGCCTACCACGCCTCGGCGCGACACGCTATCCACCGCACGGTCCCCAAGCGTCAACGTCCCGAGCTTTTCCCAGCCTCCCGCCCCGCGGAGCGGAGCGACACCCCGTCCGCGTGCAAGGCATGGCGTGTCGCCTGGGCCGCCGCCGCGACACGCCGAGCAAACGTTCCCGACCATCTGTACCGTGCCTGGGCCCAGGATGGCAGTGGCGCGGGCACGGTGGTGGTGCACGGGTGCCGCTGTCAGGCAGGCATCGAAGCGAGATGCATCGGTGCAGAGCGTTCCAGAACGCTTTCGGAGCGTCCCGGAACGCTCTTTGAAAAAGCGGCCGCGGCGCCCGATACGCCCTCCAAGCCCGCCGAGTCTCCGCGACTTCGCGCTACATCGGTCCGATGTTGTCTCGGTTCTGCCTTCGTCCTGCGCTGGTGGCGTGCCCGTCTCTTCTGGGCGATGCGCAGGTACGCGGCGCGCCGACCACCTCCCCGATCGGCTCCGTGCGTTGCTTCATGGCGCCGTCCGCCCCGCGCCTGGGGCACAACCTGGAGGACCACTACGACATGGCGGAGTTCATGTGCAAGATGCACAGCCCGCTCGGAGATCCGAGGAGGAACATCGAACAGGAAAGAACGCCAGAAGCATGACCCTTTGGCGCTCCCGCTCCGCGCGGATTTCTTGCATCCGCGCTGGGGCCCTTCCCGACGTCGCCTCCGGCGCCGCCCCTGGCGCGCTCCGCGCGCCAGGGAGGGGGGTCCAGCGCAGATCCAAGAAATCCGCGCGTAGCGCCAAAAGTGTATGTTTAAGTATGGCGTTTTTTCTTCTTCTGGATGCCGATTCCCTGCCACCTTCCGCGGAATCGGACGGTCGTTTTCTTCCGCGGCGTGGTGGCGCCCCTGGCCCACGAAGGTCAACGTTCGCGTCGAAACCGACGACCTGAGTTTTTCTATGCAGACCACGCAGGCCGCGCTGCGCGCGTCGCCGAACGTGGACATTGGGGGGCTAGGGGGTTGGAAATAGTTAACCTGCGCTTGACCTCCAGGAGGGTTGTCGGTCGCCCGTGGGGGCGAGAAGACTATCGCGCTTCGCGCTTCACGGTCTGAAGCCAGAGCGGCTGCCCATCTCCAAAGGGGTCGGCCCGCGGGTCTGCGATGGCGCGGCGATGAGACTGCGCAGAGCGCATCGAGGGGCGCCGCCTCGACGTCGCTGCCAGAACTCGCCCGAGCAGGGGTATTGTTTTTGTTGCCGCTTGTCGTATCGTTGTGTGCTTGTTGTAGGTTTTCGTGGTTGTTTTTGTTCCTCTTTCGTGTCGTGAGATTTCCCCCAGGAGAGTACCTCGTCTGGGCGCTGATGTTCAGCACCTTCGGCGTCACCTTCGTGCCGATGCTCCACTCGAACTACTACTTCACGGGCCGCTTCCTGCCCAAGGACCAGGGCAACACCCAGCTGTGCGACGACAGCTGGTAGGACCCGTGCAGCGGCCGAAGGACTGAGGGCACCGCGGGCACGCGCAACAGCTTGGTGGACGCGAGCTGTCCGCACGCACCCGTCCTGGCCACGCCGATGCCCGGCCAGGGATCCGTGGACGGCAGGTCCGTGTCGTGTCGATGCGGCGGCGGCTCTGCCGCGGGCGTTCTAGGTTCCTGGAGGTCCGACGGCGCGAAAGAGTTGAAGCATCGTAAGACATCACGACCGGGGCCCTAGACCCCATCATCCTGCGCCACTTTTCCAGCCAGATCGATCTGTGAGGGTCCTGGGGCCCGAAACTGCGCGCGAACTCGCCCGGCTCGAGAAAAACTTGCAGCGCCAGGATCTCAGGGTGGAGCGCCACCAGTGGCCCAGAGATTCTGCCAAGCTGGACTTCCGAGGCGCGAGTTGATCCATACCCACCGCCAGGGGGGTCGATCTTCGCGGACCTCCACAGGCGGTAGATTTGGACATGTTCGAGCCTTAGGGTTCACTCTATATATATATATAACATATCCATATGTATATATCAATATATATATATATATATATATATATATATATATATATATCCATATCCATATCCACCGCCCGCCGGGGTACATATCTGGATCTGATTGGGCTGAAACTCCTCACGCGGTTCGTGGACCCCTCAAGTTCCTCAATTTCGGCATCCTGGGACCATTTTCGGCCCTTGTCGGGCTCTTGGACAATCAAACATTGTTAAACTGTTCCAGGGAAGAGGTCGAGACATTGGGCCCGCGGATTGAACATATCACCTCGTCATATGTTTGGGTCGTTCGCCCCTTTGCTTTAATTCCAGGGCGCCCAGGCCAGAGTAGATGGAGTCGGAGGGTCGCTCCGCGTCGACGACTTGTTGGCGATGTACCGGCGCGATCTGGAGCCGGATTTTCATTCCGACGTCGACGATACTTCAGCGATGCATCGGCGATGCCTTACGTTCCTTCGACCATGCTTACTCTTGCCCAGCCTGGCTTCCCGCATCGGGATGGATTCACAAGCTTGGGTATGACGTATGGCGTTGTACGTGTCCTCTGCCTCCTCGATCCTCCTGTGTGCTGTCGCAGCGCGAGCCTTGCTGTCCCGAGGCAGCGCGTTGCTGCCTGTTTCGGCCTGGCTGCCAGGCGCATCTCGCGCGTATTTGTTCGCAGATGGTACCATCACAAGCCTGACTCCGTTCGATCATTCCTCTGTGATCTCTTGTCCCGCGTCAGCATTTGCACCTGCACATTCCGCTGCAGCCTCCTCTGCATCTGCACCCGCCGCCGCCCTTGGTGCATGTCGTTCTGGGGTCTCAACGCCGCCCGGACGCTCATGGCGGGAGGTTTTGCACACGGCAGCATCAGGACTGGAAGGATGTTTGGCCACGTTTCAACAGCGGGAGGCAAGTGACCCCATGAGGCGAAGCGTACCGGGGGGCGAACTATATGACTTGCGAGCACACCTGGAATTATAAGGAAATTGACGTACCTCGAGAAGCATCGGGAGGGCAGGCAAACAGGCAACATGAACGAGATGCGCTTGCAACAATCGAAGTGCTGCCGCTGCTTCGTCATCCTTGAGTTTCTCATCCTCTCTCTTGATCCCCATTTCCTATCCAACTCATGCTAGCGCTTTCCTGTTTCTCCCAGTCCCATTCCATATCCACTTTTCTCCCACGG